TTCTGTTAAATAATCTAAATCCCTCTAGCTGTATCTTCCATTTGTGGGTTTCATCCCACCAAGTTTCCGTAAGGGCAGCCATATCATATTTGCCCTCATTTACTTGAATTTCTAATTCACCCTGTTTATTCCTCATCCTCTGTCAGTCTGTGCTCCCTTCAAATCCCAAGAAAGAAATACTTAGACTCAATGGGTTAGAGCAAAGTTATTCTTTTACTGGAGAATAAAGTGAAAGCTACAGATTTAATTCCGAATCTGAGAAATTGGCGCGCAGATCACATATACAAAGGGATGGAAATGCTCCCACCCCCCAAAGTCTAAATGAGTCTTCCAATTAAAAGTTCTGAATACGATCATGTGACCATCTCCAGGTGGTGATGAGGCTTCTGTCCGTTGACCTTGACATATTTTGATAAAAGTTCGCAGTTGCACAAAAGGGGATAGAAGCTAGCCAAGAAATGGAAAGTTAAAGACAGGAATCCCCCTCCCCTTGCTACCCACAGCAAAAGGAATACAAAACACCTCCAGCTTTCTTCCCCTCCGAGTTCCCCACTCCCTCCGTTGCTAATGACAGCCGAAAGAAATAGATTTGCATAGCAGCAAAGAAGATGCAATAGTTAGGAGGCAGAATATATATATTATGGAAGATATCTTGAGGCTGACATCCTCTGTGCATTGGTATATTGACATTTGAGTCCTTTTTGACTGACCCTGTGTTTATTTTCTACATAACCTGTGCTGTGCCTGGGTTCTCCTATTTCCTTACCACATTTATACAATCTAGTATTTGTATTTTGCCATTTTAATTTTATTTTAAAGTAGTATGATCTTTATACCGTGTTTCTCACATAATAAGGCCGGGCCTTATTTTTTTTTTGACCCCCGAAAAAACGGCTAGGCCGTCTTTTCGGGGGTGATTTAATTCCCCCCCTTGCATCCTCGGGTGGGTGGGCGGGCAGCGACAGCTTGGATGTTTGGGAGACCTTCGGGTTTGGGCCACCGTTGCTTTCCCTTCTCCCTTGCTGCCGCGGCGTTAGAGCAACGCCGCGGCGTTTGGCGCAGCCACGTGCGGCCAGTCAGGGCTCCTCCCTGCAACCGGAGCCCTGAGGAGACATTTGGCTTCAGGCGCTCCCGTCGCCGCCTTCCCTTTGCTTTCGAAGGTAAAGCGAATTATTTTAAAAATGACACCCTACTACAACAAAGCCTCCCCTGCCTGAGAGGGCAGCCCTACCCCACATGGGGAGGCGAATCTCCCGGGGCCTCTTCGGTTCCTCCCCGACCTCCCTACAGTGCGCGCCTCTGACGTGCCGGTCCCTTCAGCCCAGCAAGCTCTTCCACCTCAAAGAAAGGCCAGGCGGGCGGTTGCGAAGCAGCGGCAGCAGGTCCGAGCCACTCGCAGCGGAAACAGCCACCACCCTTAGCCCAACGTGGGGAGAACGACCAAGGTTAGCGCCCGCCAGCCCATCCTTCCCGCCTTTGAAGGCACCTGCACCGAGCGCCTCCGCGGCTAGCCTAGCCACGCCGCTTTAGGTAAAAATTTATCTTTTCTTTTAGGTAAATCACTTCATTTTTGTTTTTAGATTTTGAGAAGGTGCATTTGTATTTTATACACTTCCAACTCACGGTAATCATGCAATGTATTCTTAAGTACTTTTCTAAACTGCAGTTGATCTGTATAAAGAAAAGCTCTTTAATTTAAATGAGCACCCCATCTACCAAAACTGATAATGATAATAAGCAACAGATCAGCTCCACTGAGATAATCAGGCAGATTGTTTTAAAGTTCAGTACTCAGGATAGCTCTATCAAACTACAGTACTGTTACAATACAGTGTTGAATCATATAAAATGCTATAGTTAGGATTATTATACAGGAAAACTAATGTCAAGTGCTGCTTCAGCACAATTATCATTCCTATTTTAGGGGTGGGATTCTACCAGTTCAGACCAGTTTGGGTTTGTTATGATTCTGCGCAGTTCAGAGAACTGGCAAATTGTGCCACTGGCTGCCCTTCCCCTCCCTCCTCACTCCACTCCTTATCTCGCATGCGTGCCATTGCTGCCTGCTTTCTCCCGTCTGCCATCGCTTCCTGAAGCCAGAGCCAGCCATCCGCCGTGGCCCTGCCTGATCTCCCTGGGTGAGTGAGACTCTGCAAGCCCTGGTCACCTACCTGTTGCTGCCGCTGCCCGCCCCAGTTGAGTCCTGACTCCCGGGCTGCCCACCCACCATCCTCGCCCGCTATTGCTGCCTGTTTTCCATTGCGGTCCTGCCTGATCGAGGCTCTGCAAGCCCCGGTTGCCCATCGCAGCTGCCGCTGCTGCCAGCCCCAGTTGACTCCCAACTCCTGGGCCACCGGGCCACCATCTTCACCCGGCCGCCACTGCTGCCTGCCTTTGCGATCGGTGAGTGAGCAAGCAAGCCCCGATTGCCTACCTGCCGCCGCCGCCAGTCTTGGTTGAGTCCCAACTCCTGGGCTGCCTAGTTGCCTTCACTGCCACCTTCACTGCCTGCCTTACCCAGCTGCCATCTTCACCTGGCTGCCATTGCTGAAGGTGCTGCCGCAGATCGGTGAGACAGCCGCCTTTGCCAATGATGCCCACTCCTGCTGCCTGCCTCGCCTGGCTGCCATCTTTGCCCACCTATTAGAAAAAAGCAAAGAAAAAACAAGTATCAACAAAATATGCAACAAAATAAGTTTTATTTATTTTATGTTTTTATTTATTTTTTAAGAGTATATTTTGTTTTTATTCACAAATAATATTGTATTGTCAGGACATATCATTTAGGAAGAAGCAAAGGAAAAACAAACAGAAGTATCAACATATAACAATAGTAGTAGTATAACAAAATAATTTTAACTACATTTCTCTTTGTATTGGCTTATTTATAATTGGGTTAATTATATTAACATGTTTATAATTATCAACCCTCTTTGTATTTAATTCAAACAGTAATGATTGTTCTACACCTAATTTCTACCTCTTATCTCTAACCACTTTTTTTAAGAAGCATAAAAAATTCAATACTAGTACAGTTGGGTACAGTTAATTTTATGTAATGATAATGACAATAATATTAATGAGTACATAACTGTTTCTCCATTTTAATGAACTTTCCTTAAATAATTGGTCTTTTCTTTTATACTTTTAGATTTTTAACTTCTGTTTCTGTTAACCATTGATAAAACAAATCCCACGTTAAGTATTCAAAATCTCCTTCTTGATTTTAAGTATTCTAATCTATCCATTTCTGCACATTGTAATATTTTTAATTACATTTTCATCTTTGGAAGTGGTGGCTAACCTTTTTGGGCTCTTGTACCAAAAATTGTGCATGTGCTTGCACGCTCGTGCTCACGTGCCAGCACCCAGAAGGCAATGCGCGCCCCCGCACACACACACCCTACACATGCACGCGCAATCCCACCCCAACCCCTGCCACCCCCTTACCTGCACTGCGCCTCACAGCTGATTTTCGGCCAGTTTGAGGCCTTTTTCGGCCTCCCAAAGGCTTGAGGAAGGCAGGCTTCTACAAGCTGTGTAGGCCGAAATCTAGCCCCGTTTCATCACTTCTGGTTTTTTTCAGGAAAAACTTTATGAAAGTTTATGAAAATTATGAAAATCTGTTACTCTCTTCTCTGACCTGCAGGAACAAGAAGATTGTTTTGTTTGAATATGTGTTTGGTGTTTGATTTTACAGTTAAGTAACTTTGTGGTGATTAGACTATTTTCTATTTAGTTTGCCTTTGGATTTGTTTACTTTGTTTACTGTTTATTTATGCTTTTAATCATATTATTAGGCACTACCCAATTGGATGTACTAGTACATGTACAAAAATAAGCAAACTTGGATCTATTATGGTAATTCCATGGGTGTCTAGGTTTCCTGTGAGCAATATTGCTCACAATTATTATGTTTATGACCAGTGCTTATCTAGTTATCTCAAAAGGTTTCATGGATGATGAAGTGGGCTGTACAAAAGGAAAAGTTATTGGCACATGTATTAGTAAAAGAGACCTCCAATTTTCAGAAGAATAAGTTTTGGGACTGACATCTGATCAGCCGCAGTGGCGCAGTGGTTAGAATAAAGTACTGCAGGCTACTTCTGCTGCCTGCTGGCTGCCTGCAATTTGGCAGTTCATATCTCACCAGGCTCAAGGTTGACTCAACCTTCCATCCTTCCAAGGTTGGTAAAATGAGGACCCAGATTGTTGGGGGCAATATGCTGACTCTGCAAATAAATTTTCAGTATAGAAGTCTAAATGCTACTGCTACAGCATTCTCTGACAACTTACAGATTGAATAAAAATTCTATAAGAGTAGAGATTACATTCATGACTAAAACCCACATATAGAACTATCCTTTCTATATGACAAGTCTCATTTGTTGTTATTAACTGTGAAATATAAAACATATTTGTTATTCACTTTACTGCACCAGGAAGTTAGAGTTCCCATTAATACAACTTAATTGTTGATGTTAGTTGTTGCCTCATTATTGCTGCAGCAATAAATTTGTCTAGATGGTTTCACTTAGTAAAAGATAGATATGAAAAATCTTCCATTCTTCCAGATGAACCTAGTTAAAGGGATTACATCCTTTCAAAGTTACACTGAAAGACATATTGAATTGTCTCAATTTCCTTAAATTCACAAGTGCAAAGGTTTGGAACTACAGGAATTTTAGTCTATCTGCCAGATAATAGTATTGAAATATGTTATGCCTGATCCTGAAAAATCCTTTTACAAGCTAAAGGAAGTAAAGGTAGAAATACCTTGCTAGTTCCACAAAGCCTACTTTTTTTAGCCTACTTCCGAAGCTCTGAGAAGGGAAGCTGACTTCAGACTGGTGTTCAGAGTAATCCAATGTTTTCTCTTCTCTTTTAATTGATTTTATTTGACTATATTTATTGCTCAGCTGTGTAAACTGAGATTTTTATTCGATTTTTTTTCATTCAATTAAATAAATAATCAAGAATTCTTAAAATGTTATTTTTAGGCATTGATGGTGCCGTAGTGAAAGTTCAAGGAGCCAGAGGATTGCCTCCTTCACAATTTTACAAGGTTCTTTTTCATTGATTTACAATTACATGGACTAGAGTTAGGTTGGAGATAATGTAAAACTATTACGATTGAAAAGTTTCAAGTGTAATTTTTGTCATATTTTAAAAAATGTACCTATGATTTAAAGTTAAGAAGCTTTAAATTGTTGAAATGGGGTTGGACTAGAACAACAGTCCCCAACATTTTTGGTTCCATGGTCCAGCAGGGAAGAGGGGATGGTTTTGCACATGCAAACATAAGCCTGCAAATGGAGCTTTGCATGCCCGCCTGTTGCTTGCATAGCTCACTTCCCAATGGACCACAGCCTGGTATTGTTCCATGAACTGTGGTTAGGCACCCCTGGACTAGAAGAACTTCCATAGTCCCTTCCAACCCTGTATTTCTCTTATTCTGAAATATATTTGCTTTGAAGTACAGAGTATATGGAATATAAGTAACATTTCATTAACAGAACAATACAATCTATATTGAATGTTTATAAAAATAAATGAAATATCTGGGAAGCAACAGAATTCTTTGCAAAGGCCAGTATATGTGCAGGACAATTAGCAGAATGTGTGCTCTCAATCAAAGTTCCAAACATCAAAAAATGAAGGCGGCTTTAGTCATGTGACCATAGCCACTATCTTCCCCTTTTTGATCCTCCCCTTAGGGGTCCTTACATTTGTGATTATTAAATTTAAAGGTCTTGGCTCTTGAATTCTTTGGAGGTTTTACAAGAATAATATAATAAGCTCTTTATTAGTTCCATAAATAAGCTTAGGTTTTAACCCTTGGTATACTGACAACATAATTTGCAATGATTCTATTAGTTTATTATTACTACTATAATAAAACAGACTATGGTTATTTGATAAATTTCATAATTTTTATATTTCTAATTTCATAATTTTTATATTTCTAATCAGAGATTGTCTAATTAATTATAAATCCTTTGCAACTACTCCCCCAGGTAAATGCCACTTATCTTGATGGATTCAGAGCAACAGCCTGCTGCCCAATGGGAGGACCAAGAGCAATAGAAAAGGGAAAAAGAATGTCTGAAAGTATTTTGGAAAGGTTAGATGCTAATGCATAATACATTTCCCAATTGATTTGTTATAAAACAGTAAATTATTATTTGGTCAGGATCCTAAAATGAAACTATTTCAAATGATGAACAGTGTCATATATACCCAGTGTTTCAAATAATGTGTTACTGTTATTGTGTTATAAATTATACATTCATGTCTATCATCATCCATAAATGTTGTTAAAGGGAGAGTGATGGTTTTCAAATCCTAAATAAATGGGTGCCTAGATTTCCTGCAAACAATGACAATATGATTGTCCCCTGCAATAAGACAAAAGAGGTAAAAATCTGGACTGGTTTCCAACATTTTTTTATTTCATGTTTTCCAACTATGGTTAAAAAAAGGGCCAATGATGAGGAAGTGCTTGAATCCCAAAAATTCACATAGCAGTAAAGACCTTCAAAAAACATCAAAGGACAAACTCAACCAAAGTTAGTCACTCTTTAGTTATTTATTTATTTCCCTTCAAAATTTACAATGAAAAGGTGATCTAAAATCAAATTTAAAACAATTAAACAATTAAAATAAAGAAAATGAAGAAATAAAAAACAATTAAAATAAAAGCTTAGACAAAAGGAGTATTTAAGGGTCCTTTCAAAAACCTAAGAAGAGGTTAGGTCCTCAATTTTTACAATTTAAAGACCAGAATTTGCAACAGAAAAGGCTTTATTCCATACTACCATTAAATGAATTTGCAGTATCTGAAGTTCTTTAGATAATATCTACAAGGAGATATTCTGTCAAATATAGTAGACTGATCATAAGCTATATAGGCCTTTCCAAAAAATGAATTGGTAGTACTTTAGTGCTTTAAGTATAGACGTAAAATAGTCTTTTGTATTGTTCCAAGGACTAACATCAAAAACATCAAAACATCAAAAAAGCACAACAAAGAATGTTCTTTCTGCACCAACTCAGAAAGCTCAAACTGCCCAAGGAGCTGCTGATACAGTTCTACAGAGGAATGATTGAGTCTGTCATCTGCACCTCTATACTGTCTGGTTTGCTTCTGCAACCCAACAAGACAGACACAGACTTCAGAGAATAATTAGGACTGCAGAAAAAACAATTACAACCTATCTGGCTTCAGTTGAGGACCTATATACTGCACGAGTCAAAAAGAGGGCTGTGAAAATATTTATAGACCGCTCACATCCTGGACATAAACTGTTCCAACTCCTACCCTCAAAAGGACGCTATAGAGCACCGCACACCAGAACAACTAGACACAAGAACAGTTTTTCCCCGAAAGCCATCACTCTGCTAAACAAATAATTCCATCAACACTGTTCAACTATTTACAAAGTGTACACTACTATTACTGTTAATCTTCTCATCACTCCTTATCACCCATCCCCTCCCATTTGTGATTGTAGGACTGTAACTTTGTTGCTTGTATCCTTACGATTTATATTGACTGTTTCCTAGTATGATTTGATTGTTGATTGTACCCTATGACTATCATTAAGTATTGTACGTTATGATTCTTGATTCTTAACGAATGTACCTTTTCTGTATGTATACTGAAAGTATTTACACCAAGACAAATTCCTTGTGTGTCCAATCACACTTGGCCAATAAAGTATTCTGTTCTATTCTATTCTATTCTATTCTATTCTATTCTATTCTAACCTCAAATAATCTTTTCTTATCTTTTCTTTTATGTATACTGAGAGCATTTGCACCAAGACAAATTCCTTGTGTGTCCAATCACACTTGGCCAATAAAGAATTCTATTTTATAAGGCAAATTACATTGGTACCAGTTATTACCATATGTTATGGTAATTGTTTTCCAGAAAGGAATGCTTTTGGCATACCAACCAGAGCTTATAAAAGGATTTCTGGAAATCACAATCTACTAGTTTATAGCTTGATGCCTTTAACCAGAACACGGGGCTGGCTCTTGCAGACTGATGTTTTTACTTATGATTTTATTATATGTGTCCAGTGCTGTGATATAATGTGAGGTGGGATAAAAATACATGCAAATAAAATAGAAAAAGCAAAGATTGTATTTTTTTTTTCAGGACACGGATTATGTTTCATCAGCAGGGATATCAGGACTACAGTGCAGTTAACCTACAGATTTTAGGTTCTGAAGAAACATATGGACCTCATGCAAAGCAGAACATAGACGGTGTAAGTATGAAATGGATGGGCTTCAGGGATTAAGAGGAAGTCAAAGATTACACCTTTGCATTCTTCCTTTCCTTTGACTCTCCTCCATCATTTCACTTTCTTCATAAAGAAAAAGGTAAGAAGGCTGAATGGAAATAAAGATAAATATTTACAGAGAATGCTTCTTTTGTTTGTGGACTCTAATCTGCTATTCTTAGATAGGAACCTGGGCAGAAATGCAAGTTTGAGCCTAAGCATCGATAAGAATAAAGTCATTTTCATTAATGATAATTTATTTTTATTTATATAACACAGGTCTTCAGAGTATATTGTTTTTAGAGAAAGGTATAAGCTGTCTAATAAAACAATTGGGTTAGAAATATTTTAAAGAAGAGCTGTGGCCATTAGTCATCAGTGCTGAATTGGGTGTTTGTTTTTATTGTTTATAATAATTTGTTAATATATTTTTATATTACAAACTGCTGGGACTGGTATAAAGATTGTTGATAAATAACTGCTTAGAATGTTAACAACCAGTTCTAGCGAATAGGTGCGAACTGGTAGAATCCCACCCCTGAGTATAAAGATATGCAAGTGGCCTCATAATTTATTGTTATCTTCACAATTTTCTTTTAATTTCATTTAGTAAAATTCTTTATGAAATCACATAACATTATAAATACAATACTATTTCATTGTAATATGGTTTCACTTCAAAATATAATACAATCAATAAATCAAATTCAAGCAAGATGGTTCCCTTATATACAATAGCAAATGTAACACTTACATTATGGCTTCTAAGGGAACCAAAATGCTTGTAAACATTGCAAATTAGTAGAGGCAGGAAGGGAGGAAGTTAGAAACCAAAAATCATTTTAAAAATGTTTTTAATTCGTGTAGTTTGTGTTTTTCCTCTTTCTACTTTATTATATATAAATGATTATAAGTAACATATGTATAAATAATAAGTAACAGTATTGTGAAGAGACAGAAGACAGAAACCAGAAACCTTTTATTGTTTAACAAATAGTTTGATTCTTCAGTTGTTCATTAATTTAAATAACTTTATGCTTATCAAGATTGACATTTTAGAAATCATAGTTAATATTAACTATTTACATATAAATCATACAAGCCATGCTTCTTGATCAACAGTCTAAAGATCATTTTGTATACAGGTCATTCTTGTTTACTGAACATTTAGTGGCCACATATTCAGCATCTGTATGGACTTCTGACAGGATTGAATGATGGTATTTACATTGAAACTCAAAGTTCCTACCATTGCGGCATCCGTGTGATCACATTATTATGATCCTGGAGCTTGACATCCAGCTCCTGATTACAATGTTGCAATGTCCCAGGGTCACATGACCATCACTTGCAACCTTTTTTTGGCAGCTTCCTACAAGCAAAATAAATGCGGAAGATAGGAAGAGATTGCAAATAGTGACCATCTTTGCTAACCCATGATGATTACAGGTTAACACCAGCAATCTAAAGTGCCAGAATTTCCCTTGTTAAATGCTGCAGTCATGTGACATTGTTCTTTGTGACCGCAATTTAATAACAGTAATTCTGGCCCTAATTGCATTTATTAACCAAGGACTACCTGTACACATTATTTCTATTGCTAGATCATTACTTTTAATATCTTTATATATATATAAAAGTGAAATACCACTCACACAGGATCACGAAATCTCCAGAACTGTAAAGCCTACAAACTTGAAATTTGGCACGTATGTTCCTCTTGGCTTCTAGATGCTCATTAAGAAAGGATTTTTTGAAATGACTATCACAGCATTAGTATTTCGTATATTATTATTAACACGCTCTGATGCTAAGGAGTTCTACTCCACTTCCCCAGCTGAAAAGAACTCTGTTCCAACTGCCAGTTTCCTCACATTCTGTTACCTTAGTCACTTCACAGCCATTTGCAGCACTCAGGTGACCCAAGGACATAGACAAACCTCCAAGTTGCCTCAACAACTCTCTAAAGCAATGCAAACTACACTTCCAAACAGGAAGCTACTTTGGCATCAAAGGTTGTAGTATTTTTATTACCCACCATTCAGTTAGAGCTGAAGAAGCTCCTTGGATAAGAAAGCCAGAAAGTGCAGTTTCCTCAAAAAAAAAAAACACCTTTTGGAACAACAGTTGGAGGATCGTATTTTACAACACTTTTGCTGGATGGATGGATGGATGGATGGATGATAGAGAGATGGATGATGGAGAGATGGAAAGGAATGGAATGCAATGGAGAAAGGAAAGGAAAGGAGAAAGGAAAGGAAAGGAGGAAAGAAGGAAAGGAAAGGAGGACGGGAAGGGAAAGGAGGAAAGAAGGAAAGCCTGGGCTCCTGCATAGCCCGATCACAAAGTTTTGTCATGAAGCATGGGTATCCAGCTAGTTTAACATAAGGTTTAGTAAGAGTGCTCAGTTACAAATTTTACAGAATAATGACAATTTCTTATTAAGGTTCCGGGAAGTAGTATATAGTTTAAGTTACTGCAGCTTATGATTTCTGATTCACAGTTTAGATTTTGCTTTTCACTTTTAAAATAATTGTATAGTAAACAAATTCCTGTTTGTTCTATTAACCTGTCTTTTCTCTCTTCTAATATTTCAAAACAGGGTCCCAGAGAAATTGTTATTTGGCTTGCTGTATTTCATAAACAGAAAGAAGCATTAGAAATCTTTTCCAGAGAGATTGCTCCAGCTGGAACAGGAATGGGTACATCTTCAATTTCTAACTTTCCCTATTTGACAATTCAAAGTCATCACATTTGGGTTTTTTTTTGTTTTTTTTTGCTATTGTACTTTACAAATGATTTCTAATTAATTCTAATTAAGCTGTAGAAAAACTTGTGGTCTTTTAATTAAAAAAAATAAGTACTAATGATTAAAAGGGAATTTTATATATGGGCAGAAAACTTTCAAATTTTTAAAAAACTTATATGTGGTGATTCCCTGGCAGATTTATTCATTGTTAATTTCATTAATGAAAACAATTAATAACTTTCAAATTAATACTTCATGTATTTATTCAAAATCAACAATTTAGGAATTGTTAGCCAAACAAATGTTTGTATTTACAAACCATTTAAAAGAATTGGTTCTGAAAAATATCAGCATTTAAAAGTTGAGTGGAAAACAAGGTTTTCATTAGTGTGCTTCACACATTACAGATGGATCAGAATACTGGATCTGTGTTTTGGCTTACTATGTTATATAAATCCAAATATGTTTAAGGACAGCTTCAGAGTGACCAAAAGTGTTGTACTCTTCCTCCCACCTAAACCAATTAAGGGCCCCATCTTGTTGAAGAAAAGGAGCCAGTGAGTGGTGGGATTCAAATAATTTAACAACTGGTTCACCCAGGGTCAGGTTAGCCAACATGGGAGGCATGGCCCATCCCCGTCCTCCAGCTCCGCTGCACATGCGAGACGAGCCGCCCATGAGGGCCAACCTGACACTGGGCAAACCAGTTGTTAACTTAATCTTAGCATACCACAATGCACTTCCCATAGCAGTTTTGGAGGGCCAAAACAAAAATACTACTACATGAGCTGAGACTGTGCCCCTGTGGACAAGGGGCCATTGAAGCTACAGCTCACATCTTGCTGTACTGTATCTTCTATAAGGACTTACAGACTCAATTTATAACACCATACCTAATAAAGTATCCAGGAAATACTGCTCTTTTTATGTGAAACTACTGCTGTCAGATCAGTACAAATGATTTTGTCTTTAAATGTGGCCAAATTTTGCTCTGTGAAAATTAGGTAAAGTTTAATTGCCCACTGATAATCCACCATCAACTGTAATATATTCTGTTTGCCTTTTATTCTATTTATTATTATTATTGTTTTAATGCTTTTTTATGGTACTGGTCTATGGCCGTAATAAAGATTGATTGAACCAACAGAACATGAGAACACAAGCGAGCAGTTAGACAAGGAGATCCAAACTCATTGTAGCCTCATGCAGCAATTGACAAAGACATTAATTCAATTTTGCAGTACTACAAATGTTGGATGAGCAGGACAACAATAGGCAGAGAAATGATCGAAGCCCCTTGTCAATCAGCAGGAACATCAACTTATCAGACACTTAGGAGATGAGGGCGCAGCAGTAGAAGGAAACAAAAATCAATGATTTATGTCATCATTAAGCTTGAAAACTTGGAATAAAAAATCTTTGGTCCCAATAATCAACTCAGATTGGATCCTGCAATGTTAATCTGAGACATTTACCTTCGTTTGTGAGAATTAGAATAATATAATAACTAAGAATCTAAGTTTTGACTTGGAAACATTCTACTTCAGAAATTATTTTCATTGTAAATATATAGTTCATTTTGCAAGCTGTCGTATTTAGGGCCATAAACCTCAGTGAACTGAAGCAATGTCATAAAGAGTGATGGGGTCATGTAATCCTCTTTTGTGAATCCGCTTCTGACAAGCAAACTCAACGGGGAAGCCAGATTCACTTAATAACAATGTTACTAATTTGACAACTGCAATGATTCACTTAAAAATGTGGCAAGAAAAGTCATAAAATGGGGCAAAACTCACTTAACAAATTTTTCATTTACCAACATAAATTCTGGGTTCGGTTGTGGTCGTAAGCTGAGGACCACCTGTATTTGTGTGTGGCGAAAGAATGTGAACTTCTAGGATTAGCAGTTCATTTGGAAGAGAAATTAGAATAAAATGTTTAGAGTAAAATGATAACCAGGTCTGGGTATAGAAAGCCTGTCCTTATTTAAAGAACAGAATTAATCAGATTAATTAATCAGAATAGAGCTGGAAGGGATCTTGCTCAAGCAAGAGACCCTGGACCATTTCAGACAAGTTATTGTTCAGTCTCTCCTTAAAAACTTTCAGTGATGAAGCACGTACCACTTCTGATGGCAAGCTGTTCCACTGCTTAATTGTCCTCACTGTTAAGAACTTTCTCCTTCATTTCAGGTTGCTTCTCTCCTTGATAAGTTTCC